GCAGTGCCTACAGTGGCTCTCTGCAGACAGGCTTTTCTAATTCCCAGCACTGCGGTGTCTCTTACAACAGGACATAATGGATTTCAATCACCCCGACAGCCGCCGTGGTCCCCTACTGAATTAAACCAGGCATTTTAATAGGTTTAATTCTTAACCAAGAGAAAGACGTAATGCACGTCAGCTCTGACACAAAATGGGTGAAGATCCAGCAACCCCGCGATTGCCAATTTGTGAGTATCAGTTACAGGCTGTAGGGCTAGGAACTTATCACAGGCTAGGCAGAAACAAATGGCTGTTGGAAAGGAGACCTATTTGACAAGGAAAGCCAGGCCCTCTCTTCCTCCTCTCATTTGAATAAAACAAATAGACCAAGCCCAGGCAGAGAAAAAAATCCAATGAAACAATCTTGTTAGTTCAGCACAGAGCTGATTTTTAGACTTCCTACATTTGACTTCAAGCAAACCAGGATTTTATTTTTTTTACTCTGTTCTCATTTAAGAACTTCATTTTGTGATGGGATAATTGTTAAAAGTTTGAAGGTAGTATTTTTAAGCGCTCCAAATAACAGCAGCACTTCCAAAGGAATTCCACCGGCTCTTTTTAAACCTGGAAGCAAGTCGTTCCCCAGCTGCGCCTGCTCTCCCCGCATCTCCCCATTGCAAGGACGACCCGGCTTGAGTCTGGTTCAGAAAGCACCCAGAAACCAGAAGTGAAACCCAGAAGTTTTTTTTCATTATCCAAACTGAATGAACACAAGAAGTGAAATTGTGTGAATAAATGCCACACACTTGATCTTTTTTCCTTCCACTGGGTTTTTGGTTTTGGTTTTTTTTGGCTGCCCAATTAGTAAGTTATTTGTAACGGGGCTCTCCCATCCTGCCCGGGCTCGGGTACCACCCTGCAGGTGAGACCCATGCTGCGCCCGCTCAGGCTGGCAGCACACACGGGCAGAAAAGGCCACCTTTTCTGCCCCTTTTCAGCACCAATCCCTTCAGTGAGACATGCCAGACCAGATTTTTTGCATACCACAGCACAGCAGCTCACAAACTGCCATATAACACCATTCTGCAACTCACATTTTTTAAGCTCTAGCAGCGTCTCATTTTTTCCAAGTCAAAAAGAAACCCACGGGCTAGTTCAACGCTCTCAAGAAGGCTGATGAACAGATTTCACTTTCCTCTAACAAGAAGGCAGCTGGGCTCCTGCAACAGCACGGCAGCCTTTGCCCGCGGTTGCAATGGATGCCCCTTCGGAAGGGAACCGCTCGGGGAGCAGGTGACAGCAACAGCTCCAGTAAGACCACTGTGAATACCATTATAAGCTGGGAATGCCGCCTTCTCTCCCTCTCAGCCCTGCAAATGTGTCCGTATGCAGCAGAGCAGGGAAGGCTCCGAACTGGTGTGAGTAGCCAGGCGACCACCACGGCTCAGCCGGCTCCTTCGCTTCTCTCCTCTCCCCTTGAACACCAGACCCTGCCCAGCACTCGGGCGCCTCGAAGCGCCCCACGATGGATGCCTTCTGCAGGCGTAGGCACACTGGGGCCCCAACAGGACCTACAGCAATTACTGCCTGCTAATCATTAGATAGGACGAAGCCTGTTGCATCCACCACCTGCCCAGGAAGTAGGCCAACGCTGAAGATCTGAAAGCTGTCATGAGGATTAGACGCAGTCTTGTGCCTCAACACCACCTACTCTCCTTCTGCATTTAAAGAAAGGGAACAACAGCATCTTGCTTCCCTTTTCTGAGGCAGAAGAGAGGATGAGCAGCAGTTTTCAACTGGAGTACCGGACTTCATTGAGACAAATGCCAGGCTGAAACAGAGAAAAAGAAATTAAAAAAATCGGAAGTGTCACGCAAATGTAAGCTAGTCTAAACTGCCCCGAAATCAATGGGCCTCCAGTGGTTTAAGCCCTGGCCTTTAATCCTACATCACCATGGTCCCACAGCAGCAGAGTGAGGCTCGGGGAGTGTGGCTCTGGCTGGGATGGGCAGATCCCCTACCAGAGCCAGGGCAGGGAGGGCTCTGGCTGGGACGGGCAGATCCCCTGCCAGAGCCAGGGCA